CCATCTTCATGAGCCAAAGATGATCTCATGTACTTCCTGGCTGTGTAACCCTGGGGTAATCACTTCATCCTGTTTGCCTCAGTTTCCTCATCTTTCAAAAGAGCTGGAGAGGGAAATGGCAAACCACTCCAGTATCTTTGCCAAGAAAACCCCAAATAGGGTCATGAAGTTTCTGCAAAAAGTAGAGCAGAGTCACTATCAAACTTGTGGAACTGTGGTAAACTACAAAAATATTCAGGTTGAGGCTTAGGTCACCTTCTCACTTGTCAGAGAGGTCTGAAGCCAGGTTCCATGGGGGCGAATGGCTCCACTCAAGTTCCTGCAGGTTAGTCACTTTTGTTTTTGAACCTAGGGTATCCATTACTAAAAAAAGGTGTCTCCAGAATGGGAAACAAAAAAATGGAAGACTTGCCACCGTATCTGAAGAAAGGACTCCCACATTGTCCATGCACACTCACTATTGGTATAAAACTTTACAGATTCTTATGCAGATGGAATTTTTATACCAGGAATGATCTTGCTGAGCAGTTTCCAAAAGAAGGATTCTTTGATTTTGATAAAATAGAACGTTTTGGAAATATCCTTGAATTCTGCAACTCAATGATGAAAAAGGATGAGTCAGAGGTCTATTTTGATCAACATGTAGAAGCTGCCTTGATATTTCAACAGTCAAATTTGAGGTCTTAATGATCCCACCCAACAAGAGTGAAAACAAAAATGTGCTTTCAGCCAGTCTGGTTTTCCTTCTGTTTCTCCTCTGCCAGCTGGGGAGAAGGAAACAGAAAAGAATCTTTTGGAACTTTACAAAGAACCCTAGGAGGTGAGGAAAATTCCTATTGCTCCTTCAGTGCCTACCACTTTTCTTTACTCCACTCTCTTCCTGGACCTTTCCCCTAGTTCCAGGTCACACTAGCGATCATAAAAATGTTCTCTTTGAAAATGAATTAATAAAAGGGAATGACTTGATGACGATGGTCCTCTTCACCAACTCCTTGGAGTAGACAGGAACCTCATCTCAGCGTCTAACCCTTGGGCCCAGGTGAAGTTGGCTATAGAGTTTACTATAGGAAACACCCAAAAAATGAGGAACAATTAACATGTGCCATTAATTGCTATAATCCCATGTTGGCAACTATGAAACAAGTCTTAGATGTCATGTTGCGCAATGGAGATAGGCAAAGGACTATCAGAAGAGGCATGGTGTCCCATTATTGACGCTGAACAAGGTCAGAACCTTGATCAGGCTCAACAGGAATTGCTTAATGCAATCAAAGGTCTGTCCTAAGTAAACAGGTTGGGGAAAGATTAATAACTGCAAGCAGAATGAGAACGAACAGCCAACAGACTACTGAAAATGTCCAAGGACAATTTTTGAAAGGTACTTTATCACAAATGAACCACTTGACAATGCCGAGGAAGTGGTGGCAGCTCCATTTGTCCAAGGTCTTCTCTCAAAATTCAGAAGCAGCTGCACAATGTCTGTATTGGGTAGCAGACTAAGTCTCCAATAATTCGTAGCCATGGCAGACCAGTCTTCCTTGTCACTCTTCACTTTCTTCTCACTGTGTCCCCCCCCCCCCTTATCCAATTAGTTGCCAAATCCTGTTGATTCTACCTTCATTATTGCTGTTTAGTAAATTAGTCATGCCCTACTCTTCATGATCTTATTTGGGGTTTTCTTGGGAATGATACTGAAGTGGTTTGCCATTTCCTTCTCATGCTCATTTTATAGGTGAGGAAACTGAGGCAAACAGGGTTAAGTGACTTGTCCAGGGTCAAACAGCTAGTAAGTGTCTGAGGCTGGATTTGAAGTCAGGTCCTCCTGACTTCAGGGCCAGCAGTCTATCCACTGTATCACCTAGCTGTTACACCTCTCATATGCCAGTGTCCTGATGCAGGTCCTCATTATCTTCCCCAGAACAAGCCTGTTGGCTGTTTTTCTTGTCTCAAGCTTCTCCACAGTTGAGTCTACTCAGCTGTCAAGTTGGCAATCTTCCTAAATCAAGAGTCTGACTATGTCATTTCCTTATTCAATAAACTCCAGTGCCTCCTCATCACCTTCAGGATCAAATATAAAATCCTCTGTTTGGCTTTTAAATCCCTCAAAATCTGACCCTTTCCTAACTTTCAAATATGCTCACATTCAAATATTCCCCCCAGGTACTCTTACAGTCCAGGGACACTGACCTCCTTGCTGTTTGTCACACATGAGCTTTCCAAGAATTTTCACTGACCCTGCCTCATGCTTCCCAATATCCATCTCCTGGCTTCCCTGGCTTCTTTCAGGTCCCAAGTAATGCCCTATCTTCTGCAAGAATTCTTTCCCAGAGCAGAACCAGGAGGACATTGTACACAGTAACAGCAATATTATATGATGCATAACTGTAAATGATTCAGCTATTCTCAGCAATACAAAGATCCAAGACAATTCCAAAGGACTCAGGATGGGAAATGTAATCCACAACCAGAGAAGGAACTGATGCAATCTAAATGCAGATTGAAGCATGCTATTTTTCACTTTTTTTTTTTTGAGTTTTTTTCTCAGACACAACTGAAATGACTGAGCAACACTATGATCCAGGAAGTGTGCTAAGCACTGGAGGAGTCAGGAACACTTGAATAAAAATTGGATCTCAGACACTTACTAGCTATATGACCCTAGGAAAGTCACTTAATATCCATGTGCCTCAGTTTTTTCATCCATAAAATGGGAATATTAATAGTATCTACCTCCCAGCATTGTAAGGATCAAATGAGGTAATAGTGTAAAGCACTTTGCAAACCTTAAGGCCCTATATAAATCCTAGCTATGATCATTATTTGCTCCAACTTCAGCCACTGGTATTTCCTAAACTTTCCCTCAAATTTGGGAGGTATCCTTTATTTGGAGCTAATGAATTGACAAGATATAGCCTCCATGTCCTCTAGCCTCCCCTTTCATAGCTTCTCATCTCTTCTATGATGCCTTTCTCCTTTGAAACGACACTGGGTTCCTTTATGAACTTTTTCTGTACAAATTCTCAAAGTTTTATATGAAAAACAGAAACCAGTGACACTAGGTTAAAAGAAGATTAAGGGAATTTCAGAGTTAAGGCTAATGTTCAGGATGCATATGAAGGACTTTGGCAAAGACAATGCTCTAGGACTCCACTCCTCTGCTTACTCAAATGCATTGACGAATAGATAATTAAGTTATATAAAGGAGGGTGGGGAAGGGGCAGGTAGGTGGTGAAGTGGATAGAGTGCAAAGCCTGGAATCAGGAGGTCCTGAGTTCAGATGTGACCTCAGACACTTACTAGTTTTGTGACCCTGGGCAAGTCACTTACTGCTCTTTGCCTAGATCTTCATCTGTACAATGATCTGAAGAAGGAAATGGCAAACCACTACCACAGTAGAAAACCCTGTGAAGAAAACCTAAAATGGAGTCTTGGAGAATCAGACCCAGCTGAAATGACAAAAACAACCAAGAAGGTCACGGTCTTGGCTGCAATGACAGGAATGCAGAGATGAAGTTGCTAGTTCTGTTCTGGTATCACATGATGTTCCTTAAAGCTATTAAAGTTTTGATATAATTCAAAGTGACCCTGACACTGTCTGCAAAATTATTTTTTTTTCTTTTCAACAAATATTTATTGTTTCTTTTCCGTGCAAGGTCCTATGCTTGATGTTGGGGATTTAAGGGAAAAATGAAAACAAACTGTTTTACAACAAATTCTACTATGGGAACATGACATTTATCTGCAAAATTCTTGATAGGAACCAGGAGAAGTTTACTCTCCTCACCCAAAATAGCAGGGAAGCTTGGAGAATTCCTTTGAGGGAGGATTTTGAACATTGTTAAGCTAAAAGAGCCAGAAACACCATTAACTCCAGGCATATTGGCTGGATAGTCTCACAAAAGAGTGCTAAAGCTTCCTCTGAAGAAGGAGCCCCAACCCCAGCCCCAGATGAAAACTCTAACAACTTTAGAAACAGGATAGAACATCAGTGGGGCATACATACTTGTCTGCGAAGTGAACCATTAAAGCTATTCCAGCTGAGCCATAACCTTGGGCCCTCCTGAGTCCTATAGGTAATATTCCCATTCTCATGGGCAGCATGGGAATCCATGGGAAATTCTGTTTCGTTATGTCTTGGGTCATTTCCTTTGTCGATTTGAAATGAGCCCTTATGACAAGGTAACAAAGTATATTTTATTGGAATGGATTTCTACAGTGGAGAGGAAAAGAGGTCTTATATGTAGATCGACAGGACACTTCAGCTTCAAGAAGACGTGGCTTTATTCCTGCCTCTAACTCTACTGGCTGTGTGAGCCTGGGCAAGTTGTTTAACCTATCTGTGTCCCTGGCAACTCTCGGACTAAAAATCCCAAGACAAAGGCAGATGTGCTATCAGTGGAGGAAATCCTCTCCAGGGAGCTCACTACATAAATCAAAGCACAGGAATCTATATGATTTATTTTGGTATTCGTCCTAAATGAAAACTTTTCTATTTGATATATGGTTCCTGGGTTTTGATAGGGAATTCTACATCTGCATAACTAGGATCACTCCCAAACAATACCTGGAGTAAAACAGGGAGTTATTTGGGATCCATGATACCCAGATCTAGATGACCAACTTTGATACAATGATAAAAAATGATCCTAGTAGACATTCCTTACACAATGAAAGAAACTTTATTTTTACCTTTCAATTATACTATGTGGTCCAGGTTAAGCTGATCAGTTCCTATTCACCAAAGTCCCAAATTCATTTCAATCATTTAAATAGAACCCTGACTAGCTGCCTTCAGCCTGGTATTGGGAAAAATGGGAAGTCTGAATCCTGACCTTCACATGATTCTCCTCCCTCTTCTCCCCTCCCCCATCTACACTCTGAATCATTGGCCCTGAGAGTTTGGGCTTTTCTCATATATACCCAGTAGAGCAAAGACTACAAAAAGGACAGTTTTTATATCGAGGTCCTGGTCAGGCTGTTTGTTCTCTCTTGTTTGTCAGAAAACCAGGAATTGAGAATCATGGCTGCGAAGCCCAAACTGTATTACTTCAATGGCAGAGGCAGAATGGAATCCGTGCGCTGGCTCCTGGCAGCTGCTGGTGTGGAGGTAGATGCTTCGTTTCTTACATTTGTTCTTTTTCTTCAGATTAAGTGAATACTTACTAGAGGAGAAATCACGTGGAACTTACTTAATGACTCCCTCCAAACAAGGGGTCTAATTATTGTGATCACCATCTTTTTTTTTTTTCCCCTTTAACAGTGAACTGAGTCTCAGGAGCAAGTTGAAAGTCACATTTATTTTGATAATTAAATGTTGGTTGAGTTCCCCTTCTGAAAGTGTAAACAGAGCATAGTAGCTGGACTTTGATTCAGCAGATGTAGATCCAAGTCTTGGTGACATGACCAGCTAACTACACACCTTTAGGCAAACCTCCTTGCCTCTGAGACTCAGTTTCGTCATTTGTAAAATAGAGGAGTTTAATTAGATTATCTCTGAGATCCTTTGTAGCTTTAACATTCTGTGATTCTGTGATCTTTGCCTATAGTGTAACTGAAAAATATAAAGGAACAGAGGTTGTGTTAGTTTCTAAAGAGATTTAAACAATCTACATTTTTGTAGACTTTTAAAAAAAATTCAGTCAGGATTGGGGAAGGTTCAGATTCCTTATATATAAGATCTTCCTAAAGTCTTTGCAAAGTTTCTAAACTTTTAAGCATTAATAATTTAGATTGATATGCTAGAAAAATTTTGTAATAATCTTTCTGGTGGTAATGAATGATTTTTCTCCCTCCTCTCTTATATTGGCAAATCACTTCACCTCTCGGGGTTCAGTTTCCTCTCTTGCCAAATGAGGAAATTAGAGGAGCCAATGTCCAATGTCCCTTTCAGTTCTGCCTACTTCATAGGATGTGAGGGACTTCAGTTCTGCTAATCAAAGGACCCTACTCTGTGGCAGGATGGAAAATAGAACTACTTTGTGGACAGATGTGTCATGTGGTTACTGTAAACTTGAACAAACTTCTTTTCAAATATTGAAAAGGTATTTCTTTTGTACCTGCAACCTAGGTTAGGTCTAAAGCTCTGCAGAGGTCTTAAGAGAACCCTGGGTGGACACACATATTAGGTTAATATGTAATGAGTGTATTACTGCTATTCTAAATGAATTAAAATTTTAAAAAATAGATTTACAATTACAATATATCAAAATTTGGCTATTTTAATGTCTATGTTAGAAATATCAATAGATAGAACCCACATAAACAGAAGCTCTTTGTGTGGGTCCTACATCAAGAATGCAAAGGGGGATTCTGAGAATAAAAAGTTTGAGAAGTGTTGGATGAGAGCATCACAGAATAAAAGGTAGAGCTGGAAGACACCTTGGAGGTCATTTAGTCCAAGGTCCTCATTTTTGCAGATGAGGAAATTGAAGCCCAGAGAAGTTAAAGGACTTTCTCAGGGTCACCCAGCCAGAAAACAGGTACCTAAGGCACCTAAGGTACTCAAGGCAGTTTTGGAACTCAGGTCTTTGTGACTCCTACTCCTGTGATCTACTCATGAAACCATGATCTCTAAGGTCCCTCCCAGTGGTAACATTTCATGATTCCATTGCTCTGAGACTCTCATGTGTCCTTCTCCTTTCTAGTATGAAGAAGTGCTTTTCAAAACAGCTGAAGATTTTGAGAATTTAATTAAGGGTGAGTTCAAAGAGCTGCTGCTGTGCTGTGCTAGTCCATGCAGATCAGATTAATTCCCATTGCCTTGCCTGAAAAGACATGCAAAAAGTCTCCAAGATCCCTCATAGCCCTAAAATTCTCTGATTCTACAGTTGTGAAAAAGTATGTTATGAATCATATCATGGACGGGGAATTACATGGAACAGTACACATGTGTGCTTCTCTGTACCTCAGAGGTAGGGTTTGAATTTCAAAACAACCACATCAGGGAAGAAAGCAAGCTTCTTTCCTCCTGAAACAAAGGGCCCTTGGCTTCTACAGAGGAATCCTGGTGGAAGTAAAGAATGATGGGATTTAAGACTGGAAAGGTTAGGTTGGAGTTGGGTCATGTCATTCCCTGAATGTGAGGAAAGAATAGGCAAATGGGAGTTATTGAAGTTTTTTTTTTTTTTTTACTTGTAGAAATAACTTGATATTACTGTGTTTCCTTGTTGTTTCCTGGACTGTAAAGTGGGAATGATGATATAGTAGCTGCCTCCTAGAGCTGTGAGGATCAAATGAGATAATATTTTTTCAAACACTTAGTATGGTACCTGGCACATAGTAGGCATTTAATAAATGCTTATTTCCTTTTTTTTTTTCCCAGAAGTGTACCCCCCAGCCCCCACTCCCATGGAAATTAAAACTTTTTCCTTTGAAGCACAGTTCTAGCTCTCTATAAACTATCTTTACTTAGGGCAGTTACTTGGTGCAGTGGATAGCCTGCTGAACCTGGAGTCAGGAAGACCAGAGTTCAAATCTTTCCTCAAACACTTGCTGTGTGACCTTTGTGTTGTGTGATCCTGAGTAAGTCACTTAACTTTCAATCTCAATTTCCTCATCACTAAAATGGTTGATGGTTGTTGTGAGGATCAAAGGAGATTATATATGCAGTGCAAAGTTCTTTGCAAACTTTAAAATATAAAAATGCTAGCGACTGGTTACAACCTTGAGTAAGGAGAATGAGGGGCTGGCAGACTTGACCTAGCTCAAGAAGGTGAATAGACACTATGCCAGCCCTAGGCCTTATAATGAACCAAATAAAAATTTAAAATTCATACAAAGTTCTTTACAAGTAGTATTATTCCCATTTTACAGATGAGAAAACTAACATTCAGAGAGGGTAAATTAATCCTCCAGGGCAACACAACTAGTAAGTGGTAGAACCTGGATCCAAACCCAGGCCACCTGATTTTAAATCTAGTGCCCACTATACAATACTACACTACTGTGACCTAAAGAGTACCAGGAAGTCCCCATCTAGTCTCTGTTGTAGAGTAGCTCTCATAAATGAAATTCTGTAGGTGTAAATTTTAATCTGTTTAGGCATATTCTTGTAAAACATAAGCACCAGGATAACGGTTGCTAATACCAGAATATGAATTAGCTTTCATTCACTGGATAAGTGTGTACTAAATGACTAATATTTGAGGCGCTCTGAGCTAAGTTGCTCAGGAAAATAAAAGGATAAACAAAACAGGGGTCCTGCCCTCAAGAATTTTACAATCTAGTTGAGATGAAAATCTCTAAGATCCCTTATAGTTATGATTGTATAATCCTGATTTTTACCCCCAAATTATACATATATAAACATTAGAACATTACTGGTATATAAAAGCAGTAGAAAGTACTGAGGATCAGAGAATCAGAAAATCAGAGGATCAGAGAAGATCGCATGGAGGAAGTGGTGTTTGTGTTGGATCCCCCATGATGGGTAGAATGCCAATAGCAGGAGATAATAGGGAAAGGCATTCCAGGAGAAAGGCACAGAAGTCTATGTATGGAGTTTGACCAGAAATCCATGAGGAGCATAATGAAGAGGTGTCAAATTCCTGGCAAGCTGCCCTTAAGTGAAGCAGAAACCACATTAGAATGTAATTGGGAAACATTTAAGAAAATAAATATAATAAATAAATAAAAATAAAATAAATACAACACAGATAATGTTAATTTGTGGTTTTCTAAGTCGATAAGTAGTCCCCATAAAGATTCATTTCTACGTAGCACAGTCGATGGAGTGCCAGCCTAGTAGTCAGATAGATTCCTCTTCCTAAATTCAAATCTGAGGTCACACACTTACTAGCTGTTTGACCCTTGGTATATCACAGCATTAATCCTGTTTGCCTCAATTTCCTCATCTGTAAAATGAGCTCGAGAAGGAGATAGTAAACCACTCTAGTATCTTTACCAAGAAAACCCTAAAAGGGGGCACAATGATTTGGACGTGACTTAAAAATGACTAAATAACAACAAATATGAAATGTGGTTGGAAGAGTCCACTGGATCTGGACTGGGGGTGGGGGAGGATGTTCTTTGGACTTTATTAAGGAGAAAATAGGAACCAATCAAAGTCTTTTTTTGAGCAATGACAGATAACGTGATCAGACCTGTGTGTCAGAAAGATTAATCTAGTAGTATGTTGGATGGAATGGTCAGGAGGTACCTGTTGAGAGATAATTGCAAAAGAGGCATAGGCTCATAGAAATAGAGAAAGAAGGTTCCTGAGGTCATCTGTCTAGCCCTCTCATTTTACAGATGAGGAAACTGAAATTGAGTAAAGTTAATTGAGTTGATCATGGTCACAGAGGCACAAGTACAAAGCCAAGATTCTGGTAGAACCTAACTGCTCTGGTTTAAAATCTAGAAGTCTTTACACCACACCACAGTGTCTCTTCTTACAGGTGAAAAGTGATGAGGACCTAAATGTGGAGCATTGAGGTAATGGGCTAAAGAGGCAGTGGGGATGGTAAGGATGGCACAGAATTGACAGGACCTGATGGCTGATTGGATATGTGAGATAGGGTGAAGGAGAAGTTAAGGATGGCCTTGGAGTGGTGAGTAGGAGTCCCTGAAAATGGTAGTGTCATTGGCAAAAATAAACAAGTCAGAAGGAAGGTCAGTGGTGTTTTCTTTTTATTTTTTTTTGGGGGGGGTGATGAGGTAGAAGATAAATGAGTTCAATTTTAAATACATGGAATTTGAGATGCTAGTGTTACCTCCAAGTAGAGATGTCCATCAGGCAGCTGAAAAGGGGAATATGAAACTAGTCAAAGAGGTCAGGGCTAGAGATGTTCCCATTAGAATTCTGACTGGGTTTGACAGGTGAGCCTTATCTTGCATGGCCACAGATGGCATGCCCCTTTCAGCCAATTTCAAACTATGCTGCCTGCACACTGGCCATACTCCTCATCCCCATCACACCAGAACTCATGCTCTAACTCTAACATCCTGGATTCTGATAGGTGTGTTTGGCCAATGGGACACTTCCAAATCCTTCTGCCATAAGCATAGCTTTCTTGATTTCTATCTTTCCTTATTGCATTGTTTTTCCCCTTTGGAGCTGCAAGCTTCTACAGAGCTAGAAATGTCTTGCTTAGGTTTTTATACCTAGCACTTAGCAGAGTGAATGGCATATAGTTAGGTACTTAAAAAAGGCTTTTTCATTCATTCTTTCATTTAGACTTAGGAGTTCCACATACAGAAGGGATAGCTGAAGCTATGGGAAAGGATAAAAAGCACTGAAAGATGGTGTAGAAAACTGAAAAGAAGAGAGCCAAACACTGAGCATTAGGGAATGGATTTTTGCCATAGGAAGTCATTTGGTGACTTTTAGAAGAGCAGTTTCAGTAGTTTTGCTGGTAGTTTCTGTAGCCATAAGGACAAATGCAAACTGCCTCCTCTCCCATCCCCCATTCTCACATGAAAATACTGGTACATAACTGGTACGAAATGGTTTACACTGGTATGCATATGGTGTCCTTGGAGAATGGTAATAGTCCAGTTTTACCACTGCATGGGATAAATGAAGGTAATAGATGAATTAAAAATCAATTATCAAGCATTTACTATGTTCCAAGTACTATTCTAAAATCTGAGAGTACAAAAAAATCAACAACAAATGAAGACAATGTCTTATATTTTAATGGAGGAGTCAACACGGATAGAAGAATGGTGGTCAAGAAGGGATATTTTGATTTGGAAAGTTACTGTGGTGGAGTGGGGCCTTAGAGGAATAGATTGATATAACCTTTCCAGCAGCAATGGATTTAACTGATTTGATTATGGTTCCAGCCTTGGAAAGGAGGCAGAGGCTACAAAGAGTATGAACCAGGGGCAAAGTGGCTACTGCCAAAGAGACAGCTGGGAAAAGAAGGGAAGCATGGATCGGGCCAGTCTGCTATAGGAGACTCCTGAAGCATTCACCAATCTGACAAAGTGCCCCAGATCAAGAGTTCTAGAGTTGAAAGGGTTAAGTTTACAATGTATCTCCTCTGGGCCAGTGAACAAAGGCAGCTGGTCTGGCCAGAAGAGGGATGGGAAGTAAAAAGTGATGGGATACAAGCCTGAAAAGATTATGGAGGTCATAGAAAAGTTTGAATTTTTATTTTTTAGTCTTATGGTAATTCTTTAATAGATTTTTAAAATGACAATAAAGCTCATGCTTTGACAAATTTTAGTAAGTAACCTAATTACAACAAAAGTCTCTAGACAAATAAATCTGATTTGTTACTATATAAGCACAGCATTGCCCTTTTATGGTACCAAAAGGAGCAGGTTTTAAATTTAGCAAATAAATTTTAGCTTAATGAAAATCATCCATTTCTACATATTTTACTCATAAAACTTAAACAGAAAATAATAAGATTAAATTTTTTATTTACTTAAAATGCAAGCATCCAGTGAATCAAAAGGTATGGAGAAGTTTGGTTTCATACGAACCCCTACATTATTTCTCAGGTATTACCTTTTATTTGTAAGTCATTAAGTTCACAGGTTTAAACATTAAGTCAGTATAAATACAAAATAAACACAACATATGTCAGCAAAGCTATGTGACCACTTAATTTTTTATAAAAGGGAGAGAATGTAATTAAAAACCCAGTTAAAGATTTAATCATTACTACTCAAAGCAGAAATACGCTATTCTGTGGTACTGCTTTATCTCTGTAAAATCACAAATACAGCTCCTGCCTTCACCATAGCTACTTATGCAAAAATAAAGAGTCTGCAGTGAAAAGTTTTGCCCATCTTGTTCAACATGTTGAGGTTTGTCTGCTAACTGCTCAAAAACCTGAAGAACTTCCAACATACAGTCCACTTAACATTTATCACATTTAAACAGAAGAGTATTAATGTGTTATATACAAAAGCTACATTACAAAGTGGGAGTTACGAGAGATTTTTGCGCAAAGAAGTAATTTGATAATTGTCATCCTTCCAAAAGAATAGTTAAGAAGGACAGATTGGAAAAAAACCAGAGACTGGAGGTATGGAGATCAGTGAGAAACATCTTGGAACAATCTAGATGGGCGCTGATGAGAACTAGGGTATGGCAACGGGAGCTGGAGAGAGGATGGATCAGTTTATCAACAAGCATTTATTAAGCATCTATTGTGTACCAGCTACTATCTGAGGCATGTCAAAGATGAAAAAATGAAAGTCTTTTCTCTCAGTGAGCTTATGTTCTTTAAAAAGAAGATTATATATATATATATATGTATATATATATATATATATAATTTATATAGCACTTTAAGGCCCACAAAGCTCTTAACAAATGTAATCCTTACAACAACCCTGAAAACTTAGTACTATTCTGATTTCTATTTTACAGATGAATAAGCTGATGCTAACAAGTTAAGTTATTTTCCCAGGCCCACATAGCTAGCAAGTGTCTGAGACGGGATTTGAAATCTGGTCTTCCTAATTCCAAAGTCTAGAACACTGTCCACTGTGCCATTTATGTAAGTAAAAAAAAGGGGAAGGGAATAAATATGTATTAAATAGGTCTTGTAACCATCTTTGGCCTCAGTTTCCTCCACGGTGAAATGAGAGAATTAAACTAGAGGACCTCTACTGTCCCTTCTGGTTCTAGCACTATGATTCCATGACCGTACTCCAATGACTTGATTTCTCTTTCTGTTTTTAGGTGGAATACTAATGTATCAACAAGTGCCAATGGTTGAAATGGATGGAATGTACATGGTACAAACCAGAGCCATCCTGAAATATATAGCTGCAAAATATGACTTGTATGGGAAGGACCTGAAGGAGAGAGCAATGTATGGTAATCATTGCATGCTTATAATTGAACATTAAAAACCACCTTTTTCATTTTGGAAAACTTATTTTTAATAATTGAGATTGGCAACTGATTTGTCCTGGGTCATATGACCAGTAGAGTTCAAAGGCAAGACTTGAACCCAGAAAATCCTGACTCCACGGTTTGCTGTTTATTCATTAAAACCTCTGTCTCTCAATGAAATTGTGTTCAACAGTTATCTTCTTTATTATATAAAAGCAATAACGTGTTCATCAGCATGTTATGAATACGTAAAATTTTCTAACTTCCTTTCCCCATCTGAGATGCTTTTCACTGAGGTTGGCCTTGTAGCGGGTATCTCTACCAGGTAAGACCAACAAAGTAGTGGCAGGTCAAAAGAGAAAAAAAAAATCTCTAACTTCAAAGTAGATAGCTGACTTTAAAGAAATGATATTGACTTTTGTATACTACTTATCAATCAATTCATCAATAAACATTTATTAAGCATCTACCATGTGCCAGGCATGTGCTATGCTCAGAGGCCACAAAAAGGCAAAAAACAGTCTCTGCCCTCAAAGAGCTTATATTCTAATGGATTGCTTATGGAATATACTCCCACCAATATTTTAAGGGCAGTATGCAATGGGCTGGCCCACCCACAGATACCTAGATGACTTGCTCAGAAAATAGGAAATAATGGCTTTGGAGCTCAAAAAAACAACCCAATAATCCTATTTTGAAAAAGCATGAGTCCAAAAACAATAAATGTCTTCACTACTTATTTACTCAATGAAAGTGAAGGTGTTTAAAAAATTAACATCTATGTTTAATAACTTATCATAGAGAGGTCATGTTATATAATGGAAAGCAATCCATTGGAGGAATCATCCACAAGCATTTATTAAGCACCTACTATGTGTTAGGTGCTGTTCTAGGCTATGGGGATACAAAAACAAAAAATTAAAATATTTTTAAACAGTTTTTATTCCTAAGGAGTTTTTTATGTTCTGGAGTCAGAAAGAACTGGATTCAAACTTAGGCTTGGACACTTCCTTTTTGACTCTTGAAAGGTTATTTAACCTCTCAGTGCCCCCTAAAATCATAAGTGACAGGTGATTTGCCAATTTGTGTGGCTGAAGGAACAACCCATGCTGATGAAATCATAGGTGCAGATGAAAACACAAAACCAAAACAATTCATGGAAATTGTGTGCTCCTCTAAGGCAGGGGCTGTCTTTTGCCTCTTTTTGTACTTCCAGCATTTAACATTGTTCCGGGCACACAGCAGGCACTTAATAAATGTTGATTGATTGATTAGTTGTGTATGTTTGTCTAAACCAAATGAAAATGTCCTTTAAAATGGAGGTTGATGTTTTTAAAGCCCTGAATCAAGTTTTTTTCCATTCTAAAGAAGATTCTCCTCATCTGGGTCTTAACATATATATGACTGATTAGACTGTGTTCTTATCCTGGGGTTTATGACCTTGTTTATTTAAATATTTTGATAACTGTATTTCAATTTAATTGGTTTCCTTTGTAATTACATATATTTTGTTTTATGCATTTAAAATATTATTCTGAGAAAGGGTATATAGAAGGCCTAACTAGATTGCTAATGTAGTTCACAGTAAAAAGGTTAAAAATCTCTGGATTAGAGGAAAAGCAGAAAGTGTTCAACAAAATAGGATCATAGATGTAGAGCTAAAAGTAACCTTAGAAATCATCTATTCCAACCCCCTTATTTTACAGATGAGGAAACTGAAGTTCTACAGAGTTAATTATCCTGTTCAATTTGAATTGCCTGTGATGACTGCTCTTGAAATGAATAGATCTGTTTCAGGAGAGAGGCAACAATTTTAAACTAATTACATTTCTTTAGGTAGGTCTGTTCTTCAAGGTAGGGCCAGTATTCAAAGCTTCTCCAACAGGTCTTTGGGCATGTCCCTGATAGCACAAATGTTACAATTTTGACCTGACCTATGATTTCATTGGCAGAGGGATTTCCAGTAAGGAAACCCTTTCTAACAATACAAGTCAGCAACAACTATGACTTAGAGTCTTATAAAGGTGCCTTCAGTGACTTGTCTACAGTCATGTAGTCAGTATGTGTCAGAGATGGCACCTGAACATGAGTCTCCCAATTCCAAGGCTGACTCCATAATGTGCGGTTTTTAACTTGGAGTCCGTGAACTTGTCTTTTTTAAATTTGATAACTCTGGTCCATCATAATTGGTTTGCTTTATAATTCTATGTGTTTTATTTTATGCATTCAAAGTATTCTGAGAAAGGGTCCATAGGCTTAACCAGAAAGGGTCCCAAAGTTGCTTATGACACAAAAATGGTTAAGGATCCTTATTCTTTACTTCCTTATGATGCATCTTAGAGCCTATACTATAATGATGAATTAATATCTCACATATAACATGTGAGATATTTTTTGCTATGTCATAACAACACTCATACTTTTAATAGTATGTTAATAGAAAAGATTAAGTGAGGAGTATACTAAGTGATTTTTGAGGTCCCTTCTAGTTCTAAATTTATTCTATATTTTTAGAGCACAGGGATGACCATATTTTAAAAATAATAAAAAATTTCTGTATGGTGACCGACAAGATTCCAAATAAGGCATTTTTTCTCGTCCCCACTAACTCTCAAACCCCCTCTCAAAACAGTAACTATGTGCCAGAGGTAGAATAATACAGTTGAACCTACAGGAAAAGAACGTGAGATGCCCAACAAGGTAACAGTCTTATGAATGAACACTGGGCAACACTAATCCTTAAAACATTCTCTAAGCAACTCTCTATGACCTATAAGCCATCATGCTCCATAGGGCATACAAAACCATCCATGGGCTTGTGCCTTGGACCTGCACAAGGACTCTCCTCCTATTGCAAGCTCTCTGAGCACACATCCCACCTCCAGCTGCCATTGGTACAAGCATTGATTCTGCCCAGCTATGTGAGAAGGAAGTGGGTTGGGGAAGAGAATCATGCTTCCTTCTGCCTGGGGCAGTCCCTAAGGAACCTCAAGACTACAGAGGCTGTATAGAACACCTACTCCACTCTACCCAATACTGCAAAAGTGGTAGAACCTGATACAGTCCAATTAGAGGAAGAAGGAACCATGGAAGGTACTAGGTCAAGGGGCCAAGGTGTTTGCTTGTGCCAGGTCTAAAGGAAAGGGGAGTGAAATACAACTAAAACAGCTAAGTCCAAACCAGAAGTTATGTAGGCTAGGGACCCAGGCCCTAGCCTGGGAAAAGTATATCCTTCAACATGAAAAGAGATTGAGGCAGATTTGCAGTACAGCCCTGGGAATATACCTACAAAAAAGGGAGAGTTTCAAGAAGTAAGTAATAGAGGGGGCATTTGGGTGGCGCAGTAGGTAGAGCACTGGCCCTGAAGTCAGGAGGACCGGAGTTCAAATCCGGCCTCAGACCAAACACTTGACACTTACTAGCTGTGTAACCCTGGGCAAGTCACTTAACCCCAACTGCCTAATTTAAAAAAAAAAAAAAAGAAGTGAGTAATAGGGTTTAAAAGGAAAAAAAAGGCTAAACTTCTGATAATTTTGAGGAGATGAAATTTAAAAACCTAAAGCACAAGTAGATAAATCAACAGAGAGGATAAACAAATTAGAAGGAAGGATGAGTACTAAAGTCTCCAAAAGATGACCAAGTTCTACAAATATTACAAGACAAAGGTAATTGGACCTTGCTTAGAAGTCTCCAGTGGTTCCCTAACTCTAGATCAAATACAAACTTTTCTGTTTTACATTCACAGCCTATTGAAAACTGGAATTAAGCTCCAGGCTGTGTCTTTCTGGGTTTCTCACATATTACTCATCTTGACACACTACCTTCCAACCTCATTTGCCTTCTTGCTGCTTCAAACACAGTATTAAGGCTCTCAGTCTCTGCCTTTGCAAAAGCACCCTGGTCCCCATGTCTGGAATGCACTCCCTCCTTACCTCTGCATCTTAGAATTCTGAGATCCCTTCAAAGCTCAGTTCAAGGGCCATGTTCTACAAGAGACTTTTTTTGACTCCCTCATTTCCCATCCCCCCTCCAATTATTTTGTATTAATTGTATATACATTTTGAATTTACTCTTATATTCACATCTTATTTTTCACAAGAGGATATAAATTCTTTGAACCCAAGAATTGTTTCTTTTTGTCTTTATCTCCTACCATAGTACCTGGAACATAGTAGGTTATTAGTAAATGCTTATTACATATACATAAAAAGGACTTTAATTAGTGTTTGTTGGCTAGGGTGAATTGGAAACATTGCTCTAAGTAACAAAGTTGGTAGCATTGTAGGGGCCACCTTGAACCTCTTCCCCTGTAGGAACTGTCCCTACTTTCGAGGCCACTTCATTATTGTCACTCAATTAACAGAGTCAATTTTAACCTTTCTTTGCCCAGTTGACCATTTCCTGGATCATTCTAATGCTATATATTTCTCAGGCATTAATTATGTTCTCTACATTTATTAAGTGCTGAAATTTACATCTTTTGAGGTCTATATTCCTGAACATTCCTGGAGAATAAGCATTTTTTTTTTCCACAAAAAACTCCAACAATTTTGATTTTAGGTGGTGGGACCCAGAGCTACCTGTCTTTTAGGGAGGAATAAAGTGAAGTGTGAAATAATAGATGACAGGATCAGAGATTTAGAGCAGGAAGAGACCTTAGAAGACTTCTAGTTCAAAGACTTCTTTTTACAGGTGAGGGAACTGAGGCACAGAAAGTTTAAGTGACTTGCCCAAGGTCACACAGATGGCAAGTCACATATCAAGGACATATGTTAGACCTGGACTCAGAGTGGTGAGGTGGTGCAGTGGATAGAGTGCTGGCCCTGGAGGCAGGAAGACTCATCTTCCTGAGTTCAAATCTGACCTCAGAAATTACTAGCTGGGACCCCGGGACCTGCACATACCATTCAGAAGAAATGCACCTTTTTAGTCACTTAGCCCTGTTTGCCTCAGTTCCTCATCTGTAAAATAAGCTCCAGAAGGAAGTGGCAAATTCACTACAGTACTTCTTCCAACAAAACCCCAAATGCAGTCACAAAGAGTCAGACATGGCTGAAATGACTGAACAACAATAATAGGAAGACCAGATTAAAACCTTGTCTTTGAGACATTCTAGCTGTGTGACCCTGAGCAAGTCATTCTCTGAACCTTGGTTTTCCCAGCTCTAAAATGGGGATAATAATACCTGTAGGACCTAGCTCACAGTGTTGAAAGGCTCAAATGAAATCATGTGGGTAAAGTGCTTTTCAAATTTTAAAGCCTTTTCTCTCTCTGTCAGTCATTATTAAATGCTTTTTCAGTCATTTCCCCTAGTACTCATATTTTTATTTGTGCCATTTTTCTTTTCCAGGATTGACATGTATGTGGAAGGGATGAGGGATCTGAATGACATGATTATGTTGTTCCCATTTTCTTTGCCTGAAGAAAAACAAAAGAATCTTAACTATATCCTGGGGAGAGCCACTCAAAGATTCTTCCCAGTGTATGAGAAGGTATGGAACAATGTTGTTTGTCCTTCATTCTCAGAAAGGAACGTGACATCAGGGAAGTGATACCATGACATGCAAGTGAATTGCATTTAAGTGAAGGAGGGCTGTGCAAAGTCACCAGCTTCACTTTCTCCTCTGGAGCCATCTGGGTCCAATGGCCAGATATGGATCAGGATGACCGGAGAAGGCCCAGGATGCACTGGGGGACCATGGCCTTTTCAAGCTAAGGTCTTTAACAGGTCTCAGTTTGACTGAGGCAGCACCCATTCAGTGATTAGGACTTAATAAAAAATGAGGCAAAGATCTTCCCCCTCCAGATCTATGGAACAATGAGGCAGTGTGTGATCTGCCTGTATAGTCACTGAAATTACAAGCACTTTGTCTACTTCATTCTGAGCAAATACTTCACAGTGCAGAAACACTGGAGGCCCCAGTGGTATAGAAGAAAGACCACTGGCTCTGTAGACAGATGATCTGAGTTCAGATCCTTCCTCTAATACTTATTACTTGTGGAAATGTGGGCACATCACTTAGTAACAGACCTCAGTTTCCTAAGCTTTACAAAATAAGACAGCAACTTATAGTGGATCGAGTGCTGGACTTGGAGTCAGGGAGACTTTGGTTCAAATCCTACCTCAGACCAGGTGTGTGACCCTGGGCAAGTCACTTGTGCTTTCTGGGCCTCAGTTTCTTCATCTGTAAAATAAGGAAGCTGTACTTAATGACCCCTAAGGTCACTTGTAGCTCATAATCTATGATCCTATGAATTCATAAAGAACTGGAAGTAGGGAAAAATAATATAGGCAGCCACTTAGAACTCAACACCAGGGGACGCAATGAAGGGCACTTAATATTTGTTTTTAACGTTGAAAAATTATATGGCTAGTCCTGACACTGATCTCCTTGAGTTCTTATGCACCTTTTCAGACTTATAAATAAAGGAAGGGCTGGTGGCAAAGCTCTGTGAGTTCTCTTCATAAAAATGGATTTTTCTGAACCTATGTATAAAGTTGGTACAATCTAATCCTTTTGGGATGAAGACTTACTAAATCATTTAATATACACACATTAATTACATCAGAAGACCCAAGCATTTATTAATGAGCCAACTGCATACCAGAGACTGTGCTCAGCACTGAGAACACAAAGGCAAAATGAAATAGACCCTGCCCTCAAGGAGCTTACGTTCTTATACCTGAAAGTGAATGTGTTCATGTGTGTGTGTGTGTGTATGTATCCATACAAATAAGTACAATGTAATTTGAGGGGAAGATATTACTAACTTCATCCATAAGACATCTCTAGTAGATTATTAAACTGTTAGTTTGTAGATCATAGTTTTATTGGAATATGGGAGGCAACAAAATATAACACTAGATTTGAGATCTGAAATCTAGGTTCTAATTCTAGCTCTGCTATTTTCTACCTCTGTACTTCAGGTAAATTACTTTAACCTCAGTGGGCTCCTTTTCTTCACCTGAAAAATAAGGGAGTCGGACAAGGCGATCTCCAGGTTCCTTGCACAACTTAATCCTATATATAATTCTGAGTTACAATGAAGTGAATGTTTTGCACAACTCTTCATTATAATTTCAACATATATATTGTGCATTATGTTTGTCTGTGTATGTTGTAGTATCCTCTGCCTGGTATAGTATAAGCTCCTTGATGACAGAGATTAAATTATTTTTTGCCTTTTTATCCCTATCACCACTTTACTCAATGCTATGCATTGTTATTGCTGTTCAGTAGTTTTTAGTTGTGTCTGACTCTTGTGACTGTATTTGGGATTTTCTTGGCAGAGATACTAGAGTGGTTTTGTCATTTCCTTCTTTAGCTCATTTTAGAGATGAGGAAACTGAGTCAAACAGGGTTAAGTGACTTGCCCTGGGTCACACAGCTAGTAAATGTCTGAGGTTGGATTTGAATTCCAGAAGATGATTCTTCCTCATAGAGTAACAATCTATCCACTGGGCCACTTAGGTGCCATGCACTAAAGAAGTATTTAATAAATGTGTGTTTAGTTTTTCAACAATGTCTGAAACAGAAAAATCTGTTGTACCAGACTTGTTACATAAATTGTTGTGTTGTTACACATATTGCCTAGATCTCTGTCACAGTGGAGAAGAAATTTATACATGGGTCTGTCAGTTTCAGTTTGGGGTGACAGATAATTCACAGACTCCATCATAAGAAAAATCTATTTAAAAATACTTGATGTTTTGGTCCTTGGTTAAAAAAAAAAAGGTGTTAAGAAAATTTTTGAGACAACACTGTCTCAATAACCTACAACTTTTGAAGGCAGATTGTTAACACAATCTGAGAATGTGGTCAACAGATGATCCCTTTGGGCTCCTAATATGGGCAAAGGATAATGACAAAAAACGGAATCAGATTCTGCTGTAACCTGGGTCTAAGTCACATCGTGTGTTTCATTGATTGCCATAACTAAAGAGATCTTAGCTTGTCCTTGGGATTTGTAAATTTTATTTTCCAAGTTTTGTGACTTTCCTTAAGCTTAGTGATATTTCCTTTTGGTTGAAATAGCTCCCTTCCTCCCCCTCCCCCATCCCCTTTCTAGGATTTTTGTTTTTTTGTTTTTTCCTCTACTAAGATTACCTTTTCTGGCTATCTTGGTATCTCCTGTAGGATTCCAAATAAATTGTGCAACCTTACTGCCTGTGGATTGTTGCCTACAAGTGTACTGACTGCGTTAAATAATACTGCTTAGAGTTCTGTGCTATTGATTACATAGTTGTTGAACTGAATGTGGCCCTGAATTCATTGCTATTGCCTGCCTTATTGTATTTTATTGCTTATGTGTGTCTATCTGTGCTTCTTGGTTATCATCACCCGACAAGACTGCATATTTTTTTGTTTGCATTTGCATTATTGCTTTGTTGAATACATTTTAAAATAGAATTTAAGCCAAGACTTAAAAGTCAAGACTTTAGGCATTTGGTGTGAGGTGATGCCATGAGAAACTCACTGAGGATTTTACATTGTAGTAATAATATTAGCTAACATTTATATGACATTTACTGTAACGTTTATATGCCAGGCACTGCACTAAGTACTTTACAATATTATTTCATTTGATCCTCCCAACAACCCTGCTTAGAGAGTCTGAAAATATAAGGGGCAGAGATTTGTGAGTGGACGAACTGAAATCTGATCAAACTTGAAAAAGATATTACAGCCAAGAGGTTTAAACCTTAACCCACAACAGGGGTGCCCTAGGCCTAAAAGTCTTTTCAGGAAAGCTAGTAAGTACTACAGTCAAGAAAGGAATCCTGGTTTCCTAACTCCTGGCCCAAACCCTTTTTTTTTGTTTGTTTATTTGTTTTGGATAGGCAATGGGGTTAAGTGACTTGCCCAGGGCCACACAGCTAGTAAGTATTATGTGTCTGAAGCTGGATTTGAACTCAGGTCCTACTGAATCCAGGGCCAATGCTCTATCCACTGCACCACCGAGCTGCCCCCCAAACCCTTTTTAAAAAAATTTTTTTTTTTTGTAATACAGTGTCTTTCCCTCTCTCATTTGGAGTAGTTCATAGTGAGGAATAAGGTTCCGCTGGGTGGAAAGGAATTATTTTGCTGAGGAGACAGCGTTTGCCAGGCTACACTTTTTTATTTTAAAGTTAATCAATAACAAACCTAAACATTTGGATATAGAAATAAAGATTACATAAGAAACTGTAAACTTTCATAAGGTACCTCATACCTGTTCTGCAATAGCCGCTTGGTTGCTCTACCTGCCTCCATTCCAGTTCATCTTTCATTCAGCTGTAAAAATAGTCTTCCTTTCAATGTTAGTGTAACCATGTAACTCTCCTATTCACAAAACTCCCATAGCTCCTTATTACTTCTAGGATCAAATATAAAATCCTCCATTTGGCTTTTAACTCCCTTTCATAACTTTACCCCTTCCTACCTTTCCTCTCTTCTCTCCCACTTCCACCCTCATTTACTTTGAGATTCAGAGACCCTGGCCTCCTTGCTGTTCTGAACAGGAGTCTCACCATCTCCTGACTCCTGGGAATTTTCACTGGCTGCCTCCCATGCTTGAAACTCTCTCCACGCTCATCTCTGCCTACTGGCTTCCTCCAAATCTCAGCTAATGTGTCTTTTGCAAACATCTTTTTCCAGTTATCCTTAATTTTAGTGTCTTCCTTCTGAGACAGCACTGAAATTATCCTGTCTATAACTTGTTTGTACACGGTTGTTTACATGTTGTCTCCTCCATTAGACAGACATCCTTGAGAGAGGGACCTTTTTTTTTCTGCCTTACTTTATATGCTCACTACTTTGCACAGACCCTAATACACAGAAGGTGTTTAATAAATGCTTATTTCCTGTATAAACTAAGAAGGTAGAAATAAAATTGTTCTCTATCTCCTTCTACCCTATGTTTTTTTGTGTGTATTTTTTGTTCTTTCCATTAGAATACAAGTAATGTACCCTATATTCTCACACCTTCTTTCCCTTCTCTCCTTGTCACTGGTCCTACAGGCATTAAAAGACCATGGGAAAAATTACCTTGTTGGCAACCAGTTGAGCTGGGCAGATGTACAACTGCTTGAAGTCATCCTAATGGTGGAAGAACTCAAGGCTGGTGTTCTCTGTGCATTCCCTAAGCTTCAGGTAATTCCATCAAAAGTGGTCACCATTTATCTTGTACATACCCATTGCTTTACGTGTTGTCTTGCCCTTTAGATGTAAGCCCAAAGAGGGTGTTTGTTTTTTCTTTTAATCTCCAGTTTAGTGTAGTGCCTAGAACACAATGAATGATTAATACATGCTTGCTAAGTATTTGACTTAACAGATCTGGGATTTCCCTTGTGTGGGTCCTTTCTCTACTGACCATAACTCTATCTCCCAAAGCTTCTTTAATAGATGGTCTTCCTGGGCTGCTCAAAACAGTCATCAATTGTTGAGAGCCTTAATGAATTTATCTGAATGTGTTTTCAGATGGTGGGCAAACAGTCCAGGGCCAGTCCTAAAGCTCAAAGTCTTTCCAGCTTGGTGGGCCCACCTAAAACTTTAATTTGACTAGTATAGCTTTTGAGAATTATTGGTCTCCTCCATACCACTTTGAGCAAACAGAGGAGGATTTTAATGGAAACCGTACTAGAACAAGGCCCTAAATTGGATAAATCCATAAATTTATTCACTAATAAATCAATAGTTAGTACCTATTATGCACAAAATAGTGTGCTAGTCTCTGGGAATAGAGGTAGGGAAATAAAAGATGAATGTCATGATCTTTGCCCTCCCAGGGCTTACAATCTATCACATTTTGCTAAAGCTTTCCTTTTTGATTTCCTGTGTAGCTGTTTTATTGTCTGCAGGGGTGGCCTGAGGCCAACATTCATTGGTGCAGGAAAATCCTGTTGGGCAAACTCAACCTGTCAATGAAAATTGACACTAACTCTATAGCTTAAAGTCATAGAAGACTGTCTGGGAGTAATAAGAGGTTAAGTGACTTGCTCTGAGTCACAGAACCAGTATGTGTTAGAGGCAGGACATGAACCTATGTCTTCTTTGCATATGGAGGCTAATTGGTGCTCCATCCACTACTTTAAGTTGCCACTTCCAATTTGGCTTTAAACAAGTCTATATAAACAATTAAAGGAAAAAACTCATGTGGCATATACATTTTGAAAAGAGAAGGCTGTTCCTTCATATACTATATTATATTATATTATATTATATTATATTATATTATATTATATTAAATTACATTACATTGTATTATAAACTGAAAAGTGGGCCTTACAGAGCAGGGAATTCCTGAGGACTTTCAAAAAACATCACTGCTCATAGGGACAAAATGCTTGCCACAGTTTTCCACCAGGATGAAATAGTTTCCAAAGGGTCTTGGCAAGAGCAACCCCGGGGTCCTGCTCCAATGTTCAAGGGTTATTACTTCATTTACAGGTGATGTCATATTGCTTTTTTTTTTTCCATTTTAGGAGTTCAAAGCTAGAGTCATCAAGCTCCCCAGGATTCAGAAATTCCTTCAGCCTGGTAGTCCAAGAAAGCCACCAGTGGATGATGCAAGTTTTGAAGTTTCAAGGAAGATATACAAGATTGATAAAAATTTTGTTCTTAAACACATGAGCTAAATATTCACAAGTAGAGTTCTAAAGAGCAAAATTAATATTTTAGTTTCCATCTGTAGTCATGCCCACAGAAATACGTGGATTTGCTCCTGTGACATTCCTAGGTTCAATAACTAGCAAATATGATTACTCCCTATAGGGCTCATTGTAAATCAGAAAACCTAATCTTTACATTGCTTATTATAAAACTTCATTTAACTAGAACCTCACCTTACTCAGGGTTGTAGAATCATAGATTATGTTCTCTTTTTTATTTCAATAAACAGCTAAATTTAGAGCTAGAAGAGACCTTAGAGGTTGTTGAGTGTAGTTCTGCTCCCTACCCAACCACCCACCTCCCCCCAGTGCTTTTTCTTGGAACAGTAATTGAAGTCCAAAGTAGTTAAGTGACATACTCCAAGATCTCACAAATATTGAGTAGTACAATAGGTATTCAAGTTCAGGTCAGCTATAAAATATGGATAATAATAGCTTTTACCTCTCAGGATTGTTGTAAGAATCAAATGAAATAACATTTGTAAACTTTTTAGCATAATGCCTGGCACATAGTAGGTGCCCAAAAAATGCCTGTTCCCTTCCCTGACATCCCCCATTCCAAACTCAACACTAGTTCCACTGTTATACTAACCCCCTCCAATTAATCCAAAATTTTCTGCAATATGCTTTAGGGAGAAAATTATAAAAATTATGAGTAAGCAAGATGATAATAAGGTTTATTTTAAAAAGTTACCAGATGATACATTATGTTCAGTATAGATTCCAACTGTTTATACCTATCCTTTTGTTCTTAAGGCTCCTCAAAAAAGAAGAAATATTCACTCCACAGGATTTAGGCAGGAAAGTAGTCTGATAATATCTTAGAGAGGTTTTCAATTTTTAAAAATGGTTGTTTAACTCTCAGTTAACTAGAAACTTCAATTATATAAAATGCTCACTCTCTCTGTGTCACATTGCTTTATCATGGTTTTAGTTGTGTAAAAAGAAAAAGATTATTTTTAATACTATCAAGGAAAACAACTTTTAAAATTTCCCCTTTTGAAATAGCCATTGACTTGTAAATTCAAGGGACAGTTTCAGGAGAGAATCAGTGGTTTCATTTTTTCCAAGCAGATAATTCATCTGTGCACCATTTTGTTAGATTGTATTGTAAAGTCAGCTAAGAAAAAACTTACCAACATTTAGAGGTAGGGTCAAGGGAAGTCTTAAGTTTTCATTTGGGTTACCTAGTTTTTGTGTGTAGTGATTACTGATTACATAATGACTGGAGGAGGATGGTTCCCAATATAATGTTCTCTCTCGGCTCTGGAAGTTGTTTTAAAAAAAAAAAAAGCAATCTATAACTCTCTATCTTTTTTCCTTTTAGCTCTGAGCCCACAGCCAGAGACAGCATTCTGGCAAACACCTCAGTTTTTCATTTTTCTCTCTTCCTCCTCTCCTGGGACACTCCCTCTCAATTGCCTCCTTCAAATTGTAACCCCAGTAGATATATACAAAAAAGCAAAGGTATGTGGTTAACCTTATTTTTTATAAACAAAGTAAATGTTTAAAATGAAGCAAGACAAACAGACTTTCCCCATACTCAAAGAAAAAGGATTTAGACTTCCATGATGGAGTTCAAAAGGAGAAAGGAAATACCAAATTACTGGCTTGTCAAGTCACTTGATTTCTCAACTTCAGTTTCAGCATCTATAAAATGTTGTTCTAAACGACTTCTAAGGTCCCTTCCAGTTTTAGATTTATGATCTTATGAAGCTACTCCTAATGGGAAAACAATTTTAAAGGGAAAAGAAAATCATATTCAACCTGGATTTTTAAATATTATATAATAGTGCCTTACACCTTGTAGGAATTACATTTTTTTTCATTCCTTCCTTGCTTCCTTTCTTCCTTTCTTCCTTTTTCTCTCTGTCTGTCTGTCTCTTTCTTTTTTTGCCTTGTTGCATTGTCCTTCAGTTTGTCTGTTTGGGTTTTTTTTTGCCACATGTATAAGCATTAATGGAACATAAAAAACCTTTTGTGCTCCCTAAGAAAATAAACCAGAGGACCAGAATTTGGCAAACTAGAAATTAATGAAAGTTATCCCACTGACTTGAGGTAGGAAATGGAATCATGGTGAATGAGATATAACCTCTGTGAAGACTTCTCAGGGTGGTGATGAAAAGACTATCTTGAAACTAGAGATAGGTTCTGAGAGAACAAACAGGCCATAAGTTTAATTTGGCCCTAAACTCCCTCCTGATTGCCACTGCCATGTCAGCATTAGGTATACTAAATAAGGACATGTATGTTTGGATTGGCTATACCCTGTTTCCTTGTTCTTTGGGAATGGGAAAGATTTTGCGCCTAGAATGTAAGCCCGCCTCCCAGCCAATGGGAGTAAGGGATAGTGGCGGGGTTGGAGTTTCTTGTTTGTGTTAAGATATATAACCTTGCTTTGTCCTTTGTGCCTCGCCTCTCTCTCCTGCTGGTAGTGTGCTGGAGGAGCAGATGCCCCTTCTCGCGAGATTGTAATAAAGAGTAACTTTTTGCTTCCACCTTGAGAAGTCTTTGAATTTAATTGTGTTAGAGTCGCTGTACCACAGAATGGATTCTTAAGTCTATTCACTCAAACCTCAGAGGAGGATTCGAGCAAGTTGATAAAGTATAACCAGTTCCAAAAAAATTATTTTCATTTTTCTCCTTAAGTTTCAAATCCATGAACATGCAGAGGATCTATGATTTTTTATACATGGTGATTCACTCCATCATTGCAGTTCTCAATTAATTTATTACTTAGTTTAAAAAAAAATCAAACCACCCCACAGAATTGCTAAAGGCAATTTAAAGAGCTTAGGTGACTTGCCCAGGATCACACAGCTAGCAATTGTCAGAAATGTGATTTAAACCCAAGTATTCCTGAGTCAGGGTCCAGTGCTCTGTCCACTGTTTCCACCCTACCTCTAAAGTTGAACATACAGCATAACCAATGTGTGGATTTGTTTCACTTGACTAAACTTACTTATTATGACAGAGGATGCCATTGGCAATGGCCAGAGAAAGTGGGAAGTGATGAGGAAAAGAAAAAGAGAGAAAACAGAGAAAAAAAAGAGAAAAATATCAACAATAAAAAATTTTAAGAAGGAAAAAATAATAATTACTTGGTGATTGCATAAGGGTGAAAAGTATAAAGGAGTGGTGGGTTCAGCAACATTGCAGGTCAAAGCCTACAGGCTGATGAGCAGGAGGATTTGGTTCATGAGTAACTGCTGCACTTCCAGCCAAAGTGAGATGGGAGTTGGGGACAGGGGAAGGCAAGCATTCATTAAGCACTGACTGTGTTCCAAGCACAGTGGTAAGCACTTTGCCGATAGTATCTCATTTGGTTGAGAAAGGAAGACTCAGTCTCAAAAAGAAACAAAAATCTCAGTCTACTGGGGAGATAATGCCCAAGCAAGCATGAACAAACAAGATCCATACAGGTAAGAAGTAACATCAGGTTATCTTTTGTGTAGGTTTTACTTGATTACAACACTAAGTTCTGTTCTTTTAACTTGAGACTATTTAGTTTACTACTCATTAGGTATGACTGTGGACACATTAAACAGAGAAAACATTGCCAGCTTGTAGGCTTGGTAAGATTATGAAGAACATGAACCATGCCATATTAACCAAAAGGTTATCTGCATTATAATACATAGCTGCTTTTGAGCTCCAAGACTACACAAATATTGGAATGTTGTGAGGCTATTCACCACCAAGATGATGTTCAGGCATCTTGGGACTTCAGAGATCTTAGGGTGCTGAGTCAACATTTAGCCTGTGAATTTTGTGCAGGGTTAATGAAATAATGGGGTCAAAAGATTTAAAGCCAGAATCCTTAGGGATTACCTACCCAATCCCCTCATTTTAGGGACAAGGAAACAAGCCCTGAAAAGGGAAGTGACTGCCTAAGACCACCCAGCTAGAAGAGAGGAAATGAGTCTGGAAAAGCATCTGGAAGGATAGGGCTGATTACATGGACTTCAGGCAGAGCTTTGTCCAGGTCCCAGATTTGAAGCCAGGAAAAAGTTGAAACAATGGTGTGTATCTTCTTTTGCCTTCTCCAGCTCCTGGAGATTAGCTGGCCCTCAGCAGGTACAGCTGGGCATTCAGCAGTAACATCTTAGCATGCTTTATCAGCAAGCAATATTGTCAGTTCATAAATAGGGATTCAAAAAGTATATGTAAGAATGGATTTAAACTTTAAACTAGATGTAAAGACTGACCTTCAAGTCACTGTAGGTTTAGTTATTGCTTACTGGATTAGTTTAGATGCTAGCAATGCATGTGCTGTGCATATTCTGATGTTATTAAAATAAAAAGTTGAATTGTAATATATATGTACATATTATATACATATATATACATACATATTATCTATGTAAAATTGTTGGTATTTTTCCATGAATAGATTATAAGCTGGAACCTCCATTATGAAGAGACTACTGAATCAGGGATTCCCAGAGCCAAGATGGCAGAGTAAGAAGTTAAGTTGCTCCCACCCTCAATTACTAACCTCTAAAAATCCAGAAAATACTGCCCCAGGAAAAACCATGGAACAGCTGAGCCAGCAGAAAGACAGGGTGCAGCAGTCTTGAAAATCAGGGAGATTGGGGGACTAACAGGAAAGGTCCTTCTTGCTCTGGTGGAAGGGGAATAGTACAGGATGATAGCTGTCCCAGCAAGCCAGAGGCAAGCTCCACCTCAGCAAACTAGGGGAAGATTCTGAGCCCCAGTGTGGCGGAGCAGGCAAATGCCAACACCAGGACTCCCCCTCCCCCCACCAAGTGCCTTGGCACACGCAGGGGAACTGGTAGACTCCAGCTTGGAAAACCATCCATGTGTACTGGTGGGTGTCCTCCAGCAGCCAAACTTCCTGGTCCTTCAGTACAACTCCAGGAAGCACAACTGCAGGAGGCACAATTCCAGGCAGGCAGGCATATTCCAGCAGCCAAACTTCCCAATGCTTCAAAGCAGCCTAAGTGAGCAGGTGTCCTCCAGGGGCCAGACCCCACCCCCATCCTGAGAGCTTCAGTATTGCTGACCCCAGTTCAGCACCAGGTAAGTTGCTAGACCCTTATAGCCTTCAGCTGCCAACACCTGAGGCCTCAGCACAAAGCCAGTGACCAGGTCTCTGGCCCCCAGCACAAGAAGCTTGGGTCAGTGCCATTGTGCTCCAGAAGGAGGGCTCAACTTAAAAGACCAGGAAATAGGCAAACACCATGAGCAAAAAGCAGAAACAGACAATGAACATAGATTCTTACTATGGGGACAGGAAAGATCAAAATACAAATTCAGAAGAGGACAGCATTGTCAATATACCCACATCTGAAACCTCAAAGGGGAATATGAACTGGTCTGAAGCCCAAAAAGCCTTCTTGGAAGAGCTCAGGAAGGATTTTAAAAGTCAAATAAGAGAAGTAGAAGAAAAATTGGGAAAAGAAATGAGAGGTATGCAAGAGATAGTCAACAGCTTGGAAGAGGAAGGACAAAAACTGACTGTATAAAATATGTCCATAAAAACTACAATTGGCCAAATGGAAAAAAAGTACACTGAAGAAAACAACTCCTTAAAAAGGAGAATTCGCCAAAAGGAAGAGGAGGCACAAACACTCACTGAAGAGAAGAACTCCTTAAAAAATAAAATGGGCCAAATGGAAAAGGAGGTACAAAAGGTAACTGAAGAAATCAGTTTGTTAAAAATTAGAATTGGGCAAGTGGAAGCTAATGACTCTATGAGATAGCAAGAATCAGTTAAACAAAATCAAAAGAATGAAAAAATAGAAGAAAATGTAAAATAACTCATTGGAAAAACCACAGACCTGGAAAATAGATCCAGGAGAGATACTTTTGAAAATATTGGTCTAGGGGAAGCTGGGTGGTACAGTGGATAGAGCACCAGCCCCAAAGTCAGGAGGACTTGAGTTCAAATATGGCCTCAGACTAAGCACTTGGCATTTACTAGCTGTGTGATCCTGGGTAAGTCACTTAACCCCAATTGCCTAAAAAAATTATTGGTCTACCTGAAAGCCATGATGAAAAAAAAGAGCCTGGACAGCATCTTCCAAGAAGTCATCAAGGAAAATTGCCCTGAGGTCCTAGAACCAGAGGGTAACATAGAAATGGAAAAAATCCACTGATCACCTCCTGAAAAAGATTCCAAATTGAACATGCCAAAGAATATTGTAGCCAAATTCCAAAATTTTCAGGTCAAACAGAAAATACTGCAGGCCTCCAGAAAGAAACAATTTAAGTATCATGGAACAATGGTCAGGATTACTCAAGACCTAGCAGCCACTACATTAAAGGAT